ATGTTATTTTGAAATAATTTGTTTTGCATATTCATTCTTATTAATTCTAAAAGGTTTTGATCAGGGGCGGACCCAGGAAGTTTACCTTGGGAGGACGGTAACTTAAAAAAAATATTTTTTGGGAGGGCGAAAATTATTTTTGGGTATATATATACACTAAATTTTTTTGTTGGAGGGGCGACTGCCCCCGGGTCTCTACTACGGTCCGCCTCTGGTTTTGATGTTACGTTCCAACTGCATGGTCCCACACTTGACAGCTTGCTTTGAAGATGATAGAAGTGTCTTTTAAAGTTTTAACGATAGAAAATAGAAATCAGCTGATAAAGTAATTTTAAGGCTAATTTTTCATTCAATGATCGTTTGCTGTTTTTTTGGAGTTTAAGGCTGATCACCCATTTTAGCTCCTCCAAACACCCTCATAGTTTTAAAAGAAAAAATAGGAATTGGTTTGGTAAATTGGAATTGGCCCTACTATATATACTTGTGATTATTGACCACTTGATTGTGTGTATTTTGGAAGAGTCGAATGTCACTTGATTCATCCCATTCATCACTTATATGTTTGAGAGTTTGGTTTTGGAGAGGAGGGGAAGGTTGATGGAGGTTTATGAACCTCTTATTCATATTTGGGAGTTTAAAAAAAATGGAAGAGATGATTTTGGAGGGCTTTTGTAGCCCTCCAAAACGCTCTAAATGCTCAATTTTTAATTTCTCTAAATTTGAAGAGTTTTGAAAGATAATTAGTGAAATGATAAGTTAAGCTAAATTAAAAATGAATATCAATTCAATTTTTTGAATTTGTCATATCTCAAAGTGATTTTAATTATAATTCTTCAAAAATTGTTTTCTTCCAAATTTTCAACTCCCAAATACGAAGAGAGGTTTCATCACCTTCCATTCCCTTTTCCCCTTTACCAACATACCTTCAAAGTCTTACCCTCCCCTTCCTTTAGAACTCCCAAACATACCATCAGGATTTGTTTGAGAGTTGGGTTTTGGAGGGAAGTGGAAGGTTGACAAGAGTTTGTGACCCTGTTTCATGTTTGGAGTTTTAAAAATGGAGAGATGGTTTCAGAGGTTTTTGTGATCCTCCAAAGACCTCAAAATGCTAATTTTTAAGTTTCCCTAAATTGGAGGATTTTGAATGATAACAAAATAAACGATATTTTTAGCTTAATTTAATATGAAAGTTCAGTCATTTGAATTAATATATATCAAAACGATTCTAATTATAATTCTCCAAAGTCCTTCTCTTCCATTTCTCCTCTCCTTACCCTCTTAGGGTATGTTTGGGAGTCTGGAGGGAAGGGGAGGGGAAAACTTTGAAGGTATGTTGTTAGAGGGGAAGGGGGGGGGGGGGGGGGGGTGAGGAGGTCTTTCTTTGTATTTGAGAGTAATAAATTTGAAAGAAGAGAGTTTTTGAATGAATTATAATTAAAATCACTTTGATATATAACAAATTCAAATAATTGAATTGATATTTATTTTTAATTGAGCTTAAATTAAATTATCCTTCAAAATCCTCCAAATTGGGGGAACTAAAAATTGAGCAATTAGAGGGTTTCGAGAGTCACGAAAGCCCTCCAAAACCATCCCCTCCAATTTTATAAACTCTTAAACATGAAAAGGAGGATCTGAAACCCCCATCAACCCCCCCCCCCCCCCGCCCCCGAAACCTAACTCCCAAACACACCCTTATGAATAATAGAATGTGTCTAAACTTGAAGTTTTTTGTACTTTAATTTTTTTAAATATGTTCTATTCAGAAGAGAAATATTTATTCTAAAATATCTCTTTTCATGCATCTCACTAGACCACGTGTTCTATAAGGATTAATTAAATAAATATATAAATATAAAAGTAAATCATGGTTTTAAAATGTAACTTTATAATAAAGAATCAATGTATACTAATTATTATTGTACTTTTATTTTCTCATTCCACATGCAAGTTAGACCTGCACAAACACGGGCTCGGGCGGCTCGGGCCGGGCTTATTCGAAAATATCTGCCCACTTGTAATGGGCGGGCTCGGCCCGGCCCGGTAAAACGGGCTTCCTCATATGTCCAAGCCCGCCCATGAGAGTGGGCCGGGCTGCCCATCGGGCTTTTGGGCCCGGAAAATATCCTTTTTGTCAACTTTGTTAAAAAAAATGAAAACATTTATAAAATAACATCACAACATTTTAAAAGCAATTAAATAATTAATGTACTCACAACACATTTTGAACACAAGAATACTCCCTCCGTCCCATTTATATTGTCCCGGAAGAAGGTGGCACGATTATTAAGAAAAGTGGGTTTGTGTGGTTGATATTAATTGATAAAGTAAGAATAAACTAAGAATGATTTAGAGCCACACAAACTTTGCCAAATATGGTATGAGACAATATAAGTGGGACTTCCCCAAAAGGTAAAACGGGACAATATAAATGGGACGGAGGGAGTACGTTTTAATGAAATACACAAAATGAATTACGAATTACTAAGAGTCAAGTAAAATAGGGTTTTGAGTTTTTACATTTTTAATACAGACTACTTGGTTGGGCCGATGGTATAGCAGTAGCCATTAGGATGTTTTTTGGTCTCCAACCTAATACTTCCAAGTATTTTAAGTTTTAACTTAAATTTTATATACGTACACCGTATAATTATATAGAATAATATATATAATATAATATACTATGTATATCCTATGTTTACGGGCCGGGCTTTTAGGCCCGACCGGGCCTATATTACAACCCAAGCCCGCCCATATTTTAAACGGGCCCGACCCGGCTCGGCCCGGCCCGGTGGGCTAAAATATGTGTCCAAACCCGCCCATTTATGTGGGCGGGCCGGGCCGGTTTTGTGCAGGTCTAATGCAAGTTTTATAAGATCATTCTCACCGTTCTTTTTTTCTTACTGAATGGAGGATCCTCATGTGCTAATAAATAAAAGTAGTCACGCGTCTCACTTTTCAACGTGGGACTTGAAATTGCATAATTTCCTGATATCCTTCAAAATTAGGTCCAAGCAATGCGCAACGCACAGAATTTTAATTTAGATACTCTTTGCTCTAGAAGCTTTCCTACATGTCTATAGCTTTATTAAATTTCTGTCACCACTTGCACTAGTTTGTCTTTTCCGATTTCTTCAATTTTCTCTAGAGTAAACTTTCTTCAATTGTCTTTTCCAATTTCTTCAATGTTGCATCTTGAGATCCACTTGATGCATCAACTAAAGTCTAAAAAAGTACCTTCTACACTACTAACAAACAAATTAATCAAGTGTTGGTTCCTTCGATCGGTCCATCCATGAGACATAAGTGTGCAACATGGTGGCTTAACAAATAATTATTCATTCACACATTACTAGAAAAGTGATAACATGCATGCATCATTTTAAGGCTTTTACAGCCCCATGCATCCACACAGTGGCGGAACTAGAAAGTAATTCAAGGGGGCACGATTAGAAATGGAAACCCTACCGAACGGCGGACGAGCACGGCGGTTGGCAAATATATTGGGTCAGTGGCGCGAAATGTGTACCCCTGTGGTGAGCTGGCTCCGGGAGTCCTCTATACATTTTTATTTTGTTGTCCATCGAAATTGCGTCAGTTTGAAGATTAAAAAAACCCTCCGCTTCTCATCCGCAGTTCAGTTCATCGTCTTCCAAGTTCCAAGCTCCTCACCATTTTGCTTCATCGCCATAAAATATGGAAAGGCCGGCTCTTCATGCCCCCACCCCTTCCACCCATGTTCATTCCTATATCTATCTCGTACGGCTGAAGCAGGGGAACCAGCCCCCCGTCCCCCTGTAGATCCGCCCATGCATCCACACAAGAACATTAGAAACAAGAAGTAGAGATATATGAGCTTTGCTTTTTGTAAAGACGTGGCCATATTGAAATCATTTTTTCAATGGATTGTTGAACATTTCGATCCGGGTTATGAGGAACCGTTAGGGTTTGAGTCCTCAATCACCGCATCATACAAGTCAAAATGCATGAATAAACTGATTACTCTTCTGCCATTAGTGAATATAGAGATTGAGATGAGGGTGCTGATTGGATGACTTTGCTAGACAAGGGTGCAAAGATCTGAAGATGAAGGTAAAGAGGGTACACGCCAAAGGATCAAGAACATAGAGGAATACGAGCGGACGAGAGCGGTCAAGTATGACACGATAATTGAAGGTTCAATAGAGTAATAAATATGGTTAGAAGTGAAGTAATTATGAAGGTATTGGAGTAAACATATGCGGAAATTTTTTCCAAGAAACATGAAGATAATTTTGGAATGAGCCAAAATAGAAAGAATAAACATAATTCCACGATAGAGGTAGTGTAGGTCGGTCATACATCGACTTATATTATAATTTGATATTTTCCATTTTTTTTATTGTTAAAAAAACTTTACTATTATTTCATTTAATAAATTAAATTGTGTTTCTTGATATTTTTCATTCATTTGCACAAAGCTCCATAACATAATTTTTAGTTTTTTGTTGCATTATTAATTCTCTTGTCAATAAAATTTGTAGGGAGTACAAATACTTCCTCTATATCAGTTTATGGTTTTACTTTTCTTTTTGGAATATATCCAATTAATTGTATCATTCTCTTTTATGAAAAGAAACTCACCTAATAAACAATTACAGTACAAACACGTTTTTTTATAAAGTCTACACTAGGATGTTTTTACTTGGACTGTAATTTGCTGGTCTGATCTGGTCTGATCTGGTCTGAACTGGTCTGGTCTGGTCTGATAAGGTCTGGTTTCTTTGTATTTTTATAACTATCCAAGTCTGGTCTGGTCTGGTCTGAACTGGTCTGGTCTGAACTAGTCTGGTCTGGTCTGGTCTGAGGCAAATTACAATCCAAGTAAAAACATCATAATTATACGGAGTAATAATTAGTAAATAAAAGGATAAACGAGATAAATAAAAGCATACGGGCGAGTATAAAATACGGAGTAAGAAATTGAAACTCAATGATGTCACTTTAAGCCCGGACAAAGCGTACACACTGTGGATAAACGAGCTAAGAAAATGGGATAGGAGTACGGTGTAAAAGGAACTCGAGCTTAGAAAGACAAATAAATAAAGAAAAAGTGGTGAAATCTAGGGGAAAAAATCTCTAGTTTTCGCATTCAGCAGCATAGACTTTTGGCTGAAAGGAAGCAAAATTTAGAGAGAGAAAGTCAGGAAGAAGAAGAAGACGTCGACACGGCAAGGCGACGACTTTCCGTTCTAGATAGAGAAAGTGGAGACGAAGAAATTATCGGTTTGTTTCTTTCTTCTTTGTCTTCTGCAAGGGAATTAGTGTGTCTGGCGAAATTTGTTCGTTAGTGGGAGCTCAAACCCGGCGAATTCGATGGCTGAGAAGGAAGAAGGTTCGTCATCGGCGCCTTCGAGACCGGCCCCGGTACGGCCGACTATTACTCTGCCGCCGCGGACTTCGATGGAAAGTTTATTTACGGGCGGGTTTAACGGCGTAAGCCCAGGGCCTATGACTCTGGTTTCGAGTTATTTCACGGACGGAGATTCGTGTCCCTCGTTCTCCCAGTTGTTAGCCGGCGCCATGGCGTCTCCAGCTGCTTTTTCCGGTTACCGGCCGCAGCCTCAGCCAGTGGTAGTGAAGGATGAGGTTGAATCTAAGGAGGAACCCGGTGCAGGGAGCGGGGGAGATGCAGTTTTTAGGTTTAAGCACTGTCGGCCGGCCGGATTGGCAATATCTCAACCCTCTACGTTTACAATACCTGCTGGTTTGAGCCCTGCGACTCTACTTGATTCGCCTGGATTCAGTGCGCTCTTTTCACAGGGCCAGGTATTTTGGAAGCTTTCCAGATCTATTTTGTGTTCCTATTCTGTAATATCAAATTCAATGATGATGTTATTCTCCAAAGTTCAATATATTCATGAATGCATAGTCTGTGACTAGTTTCCTGGATTCGGGGAGAAGTATTAATGCCTGATATCATCTTTAGCAGACGTATAACTAAGATTCATTTGGTGGTTTGAACTGAAAATACAGTTGACTTTAATTGCTATGTGGTAGTTGGTATGTTACTCTGGCTTGCTCTTGGAGGGTGGAATTAAAAGTCAACGGTTAATTGTCTTGCTATTGACATTATTATTGTAGCTTATTATGAATTTATGACTACCCATTCACATCATATTAAACAGTTGAATTAAGAAAATATTGGATTAGGAATTAAGGATGGATGTAGTTTCCCATTTAGGTTTTGGACAGTGCAGACTTTTTCTTCAAGGTGCAGCGCACAAGCATGCTCCTTGTAGATGGGGATATGCAAGTCTTCGTTAGAGTCCATACGTTGCTGTTTCTTTTAGTTATAATAACATGCAGGTGCAATTCTTGCTGTGACATTATGAGCTTTTCCTACTCTCCTTTTTAACTCCCCTTCCCGGGAGGGGAGGGCAGGATGGACCTTGAACCCTCATTTGGGGTCCGTTTGGAACCAAGAAAATGCTAGGGAAGTAAAATGGGGATGAAAATATAGGGGGTGAATGAGAAGGAAAGGGATTTCCTGGGGAAATAAAGGGTAGGCTCAAAATAAGTAGATGTAATTGGCGTATTAGTTCGAACTCCTTCCATTTATTTTGCTCAGATTAGCAAAATCTAAATATATCATTTGAAATATCCTATTTCTTTTTCTTTTTCCAAGGTAAGGCAAATATAAGAAAATATTTTCCCATATCAATTTTCTTTCGCAAATTTATTTGAGATTAGGCTAATTCTTGCTGGATAGGTAACTCTAACCCTTAAATCATACTACGTATTTAAAATTGTAAGCATTTTTAGGAGTGAGAATATCGGACTAAGAGAATTAATAGCGGAGTCCAACTTCTAGAGCTTTAGCAAGTCACCAATTTCAATCCCAACCAAAACATGAATCTTACTCAAGTTATGATCGATGACGTTTTCTTCCTGATAATAATACAGGGCCCTTTTGGTATTTCCCATCAGCAAGCACTTGCTCAAGTTACAACTCAGGCTGTACAGTTATCTCAAGTTCAAATGCCTAATCAACCAAACCACCCTTCTTCACATCTACAGATTATTAAAAGTGCATCTGATCAGAATCATAATAATAGTATGAAGGGACCAACTGAGGTTTCCTATTCTGATCAGAAAACAGAATCTGCTTCCTTTCCTGTCGACAAACCCGCAGATGATGGTTATAACTGGAGGAAGTATGGGCAGAAGAATGTCAAGGGAAGTGAATTTCCCCGAAGTTACTATAAGTGTACACATCCAAAATGTCCAGTCAAGAAGAAAGTTGAGCGTTCCCTTGAAGGCCAAATAACTGAGATTATATACAAGGGTCAACACAACCATCCACCACCTCAGAAAAGAAAGGGTGCAAAGGATACTGGAAACACTAGTGGGACCCATGCTCTTCCTCAGTGTGGCTCTGAACCGAGCTCGGAGGGTCTGACTACAAATATCAACAAGCCCAAAGATCTAGAATCAAGTCAAGCCACACATGAACATGTGTCTGCCTCCAGTGAGAGTGAAGAGGTGGGTGATGACAATGAAACTAAAGCAGATGGAAGAGACTACGATGATGAACGTGAATCGAAACGGAGGTAAAATCTCATTCTCCAAGAGCAGTAAACAAAAAGCATGTCTTCAAAGATTTATATTTATTTTCCACTGTATGTGTAGGGCAACAGAAGTTCAGGTTACAGATCAAGCTACCACATCTCATAGGACTGTTACAGAACCAAGGATCATTGTTCAGACTACTAGTGAAGTTGACCTTTTAGATGATGGGTACCGGTGGCGAAAATATGGCCAGAAAGTTGTTAAAGGCAACCCTTATCCAAGGTACACATTTTTATTAGTTTATAAGTAATGTTTTAAATTTGGGTCTAACTCACCCCATAACAATTAGTACGAGGTAAAGTTTACCTCATACTTATATGGGTACTTATATATTAGATATTAGATAAATATGATGTTGAGCTATCCCACAATATCTATGTATAAAAAAATCAACATATAAAGTTTTGGGCTACTCTTCCTATTAGATTGACTTTTTAGAACAGAACCTAAGTCTGAAATCAGAGTCAAATAAGCTCCAACGAGCAGTTAGGATGTTTTCTTTTGGACTGTTTTCAGTCCCAGACAAGACCAAAGTTGGACAGTTATAAAATACACAGAGAACAGACATTACCATTACCAGACTAGACCAGATTTAAACAGACCAGACTAGATTTAAATAGGCCAGACCGGATCAGACCAGACTAGCAAATTTCAGTTCAAAAGAAAACATCTTTAGATCCTATTAATCCTCAATAAGAGCACATGAACTATAAGATTAGTTTGCTAATGAGCCACCATCTTGCATTAGCATGTTAAACCATCAACACCATCTGCACATAAGAATACAAACCAAACCTTGGTCTACTCCTAAAGGATTCTTTTGAGATGAGATTTACAGATGCAAATGTGGGCAATATAGGATGTGGGACACTTACTCTCCCATTATGGACATTTTTGTGTCGATTTGGACTAGCATACCTAAAAAAGAGCGAGACAAGGATAAAAACTAACTCTCGTCACACTTATAAAACTCAAATCTACTAGACAACCAAGGTAGGATACTCAACAATTTCCACTGCCCTTTTCAACTTTTGCTCACTCTTGCTTAACTTTCAGGAGTAGTCCGGAATTTATAAGAGTTGTGATCAAACTCATTGAGTACTTCGATTTTTTTTCTAAACGTGCTTAAACCTGTAGTATTTTATTTTTTCAGAAGCTACTATAAATGCACAGATCCCGGGTGTAATGTACGAAAACATGTGGAAAGGGCCGCAAATGATCCAAAAGCAGTCATAACAACATATGAGGGTAAGCATAACCATGATGTCCCCGCAGCTAGAACCAGTGGACACAACACATCAAACAACAATGTCACCCCGCAATTGAGGCCCCACAACACTGTGGGCCAACAGCAGGCTGCAGTTAGAACGAATTATTCTAGCAGCGAACAGCAAGTAGCACAACTGCAATTCAAAGAAGAACAAATAACCTGATCTATCGGGTTTCACACTAGAAGATGGCTGGTAAGCCAATCACATACCTTCCCCGAACCGAACAACTGATCTAGCTCTCATCGTTGATATTGGCCATATATATTTATAGAACAAGAAATAGGAAGGTTTCACCCAGAAACCTTTGTGAACTTGAGAAAAGGACTTATTGTATGGTTATTGTTATTACGAGTGTGTATTCTTTTCTTTGTAAATGCCTTTTTATAGTCCAAAGTTTTCACAATTTCTTTCTTCTTGTTTTTGGGGGATCGGTTGCAATGTCATAAACTTGGAATGCTTGATTATCGATTGATCCACTTGAAACTGATTTTTAATATACTTAAAAAGGTTTGTACTCCAAGACAACTACTTTTTCATCTGCCACCATCGCAGGAATTTCTACCTCTACCCCTCCCTTTTTGGTTTCCATGCTCTGATGTTATGGCCATGTTTGTAAATACTCCTAGCATATTGGAAGGTTTTTAACTTTTTAGATTTTAATACGTAGTATAAATTTAGTTCTTTTATCCTGCCAAAAAGTAAATTTTAACATTTCACAATGAATGTTCAAATTTGCTGAAGTGATGTGATAAGATAACTGTAAAATTTGGCATTAAACTTTAGAGAAAAGATCCGTTGGGGTCTTAAGATTTAAAGAATCTTCAAACTGTAGGTGTATGCTGCAATGTAATGAATTAAAGACCAATCATTAGTTTTTCTTTATCATCAAAATGACTTTTCACTAATATAGAGCAAACATGCAAGACAAAATTCAGACAACTATTACAGACTCGGTCGTAAGGTCAGTCACCCATACAAAACAACTTGACCCGTTTGACACAAAACAGGCAAGAAGAAGTTTAAAACGATCGAAAATGAAGTACTGCATATCAAAAGTTCTTCAAATATCAAAATACTCCAACCATACTTGCTCGAACTGAAATAAAAATAAGTATTACGAAAGGAAAAATAATACAAAAATAAAAACTTTCCCCAAATTGCTTCCTCGCACAGAGTAGTTCCGGAGGAGGGCGAGCTGATGTAGTATGGTAGACGAGAATTTCAACCCCCGGAAAATTCATGTGAAATCATATCCTTCTTGCGCTTGTCAAATTGCTCTCGCCAATTTGTGCGTTGAGATTTGCCATTGAAATCCATGTTCGAGGTGCAAAAGAAATTCTATCATGTTGTCTTGTGTTTCTTCGCCCAAAAAATCCAAACCGCCCCCACCGCCCTTGTGTAGTGATGGACCCGGGCCGGGTCAAGGCCCGGTCGGGCCTCGGGTCTTGTAATGGTAGGCCCGGGACCGGCCCAGGCAATGGCCGGTTCCGGTTCGGGCCGGGCCACCCGCCCGGGTCACGGGTCGGGCCACCCGCCGGGCCGGGCCGGGCCAATATTTTTTTTTAATTAATTATATATTATACAATAGCCTATTAAAAACAAAGTTCAAGTGCATTTATTTGAAATAAGAACTACATTTGAGAATTGAGAAAAAAATAACAATACGAAATACATTTTCTAATGAATATCAATTGGGATTTCCGCCACCGTTGGTTGTTGTTTTCCCTTTGTCACAGGACTTCATATGTTTTATTGGCATCCCGTATCCGTATAAACGCCCCAAGCAACACTCTTTCTTGCACCACCTGCAAGTTGCCCACCACAGTCCAGTCTTCGGGTCCTTCCACTTGTCAAAATTGTTTTGCATAAGGGAAGATGTACTTTCCATATTTAAAATGGTATATGTATAAGTAGGAATGTAGGATAATAAGAGAAGATGAAGATGGAGAAGAGTTGGAGAAGAATTGGAGAAGAGGTGTAGAAAAATGTTAGAAAATAGATGTATTTATAGATGTTTTTGAACCCCACTCCCCACACACCACCCCCGGGACCCCCCTGCCCCCCACCCATAGCCCCAACGGCTATATAGCCGTTTGGGAGGTTTGATTTCATTTTTTTTAAGTTATACATATTGTAAAATAAATAAATTAATTTAATGAATTAAGTAAAACTAAAACTATTTGTACTTCGAAAAGTGGTTTGATTTATAATTTACAAATGTTACAAAATAGGTGTATAAGTATTTAAACAAAATACATATTGTAAATGTATTTTTAATTTAAAAACCGGCTTTATATTTTAGAAAAATAATTTTAAGTCGTTAGTTTGTAACCAATTAATTAATTTGAGAAGTGCTACATATGAAAAAGTGAACACATATTTATTTGAAATATGAAGTACAAGTTTACAAATTAATTTGAAGTACAACTACAAATTTACAATTTTGAAATATGAAGTACAAGTTTACAATTTTGAAATATGAAGTACAAGTATAAATAAATTTGACAAGTGCTATAAAATACATTTTATAATAAATTCTAAAATACTAATCAATCGGAATCTCCAGCATAGGTAGAGCCACCATCGGTTGTTGAGTCATCCATAAAATCTTGGGAGGGGGTGATGTTCATTTCTTGAGTTCTTCGTGCGGCCTTCAACCAATCGTGGTAGCATATAAGCGTCTCAAGAGACTCCGCGCTCAATCTCGATCTAGATGCCGTTAGGACATTGCCGGCCGAACTAAATTCTTGTTCCACAGCAACTGTTGAAATCGGCATTGATAGTACTTGCTTAGCCATCCGTGCTAAAATCGGGAACGTTCTTTCTTTTGACTTCCACCAGTCTAGAACGTCAAAGTCGTCATTTTCTTCAAAATCAACTTCATATGTTAAATACAAAGTAATCTCATTCAATGCACTTTGTTCAGTGACGTGAGTTGTTTTTGTTTTTTTCATAAGATTGTCAAATGCAGATTTAAAAATCGATTTTCCTTTAGATGAAGATGTTCGTGACGGGGGAGGGGGAGCGTTGCTATATTGTGCACGAAACTCATTAAATAAGGCATAAAATAAAGTACTAACCTCGTTGTATTCCGTTTTCGGATCTATGGGGTTATCGTCATACATTGGAAATTCACCAAAAAACGCAAGATAATAGAAGTTGAAACAATATTCCAAATTAGCAAGTCTATAACGAGGATCGAGAATAAATGCAATACCATAAATATGGGGAATATGCGCATAATATTTTAAAAACTTTTCCTTCATAGAATCACAAAAATAATGAACGAAAACTGCATTCTCAAATTCTTTAAAAGCACCGGCGAGATTAATAGCTTCACGAATAAATTGGTTTGCGGTAGGTTTATAAACATGACTAAAAGTTTTAGTAGCATTAAAAAAAAATATCAAAACATTACAAATTTTTTCGCAAGTGTCGATCTCAGCCGCGTTTATAATATAGTTATCATGTTGTTTTAAAAAAGCAGGAAAATGTTCTTTATATCTAAGAACAACTTTAAGTAATTTATAAGTACTATTACAACGAATACTCAAATCTTTAGGAAAAGCAACATATCTCACACCTCTTTCAGTCAAATAAGTTTGCCATTTTAATCTAAGTTGACCATTACCCCAAATACGTCTAATCCCCCCCTTGATTACCTCCATGGAATCTCCTAACGCTTTTAAACCGTCTTGCACACATAAATTTATAACATGGCATGCACATCGTTGATGAAAAAATCTACCCATCAAAGTATTGGCACCACACAACTCACGCAATCTAGGTATAGCAGCAGTATTATTAGTAGCATTATCAAAACCAATAGCAAACACCTTATCAATCAAATTATACTCAATTAAAATACGCTCAATCAAAATATAAATATGTTCAGCGGTGTGACGATCATTAAATTCACGAAAAGCAAGAACACGTTTATGCATATTCCAATCCTCATCAATATAATGTGCAGTCAGACCCAAATAATATAAATGATGAAAATCATTTTCCCATATGTCAGAACAAATAGTAACACGCCCATCAAAGTTTGCAAAAAAATTTTGTAACCTTGCCTATTCCGCATTATAAAGCCTTATTATTTCTTTCTTAATAGTTTTGCGACTATAATTTCTAAATAGAGGATTTAAACTACCTTGTGCATAATCTCTTAAAGCAAGACTTTCAGAAAACAAATAAGGCAAATTTTCTTCACAAATTAAGTTAGCCATACCAGTCAAATTTTGTGCATCATTGTAGGAGAAATTACCAAAAGGTTGAGAATTCGCAAACCTCGGTATTTGAGTTTGCTTCCCCGTTCCGCCGCCTAATTTTGCATACTCCACGGGGTGCTTTGCCTTAAGATGCCTTGCGGCGGATCCGTATCCGCCAGAGGTTCACAAACTATAATTGTTGTTGCACCACTTGCAAGTTGCGTGCCAATAGCCGGTTTGTGGGTCCTTCCATTTATCAAAATTATTTTTCATTAGTTCAGACTTACTTTTTTTTATTACCGGTGGCGGTTTGGGATGAGGCAGGCTCGTCGGCGTCGTGGCTGCCGGCACCCTCCTCCTCGGCCGTCTCCGGTTCCAATTCCTCCGCATCTTCATCCTCAAGCTCCTCTTCGTCAATGGTCGTCGGCATTTGTTGTTGTTGTAGAAAGCGGTTATTATGTCGGGCCAATTCTTGTTGGAGTTGTTCTTCGGACATCGCATCTCCATCTCGCCTTTGGTAACCCGTTTCAAAATCATCTCGGCTTTGAGATGAAGAACCGGCAAGTTCTTTACCTTTGCGGGATTTCTTCCTCCCAATCTCGTTCCTTCGATTGCGTTGGAGGTTACCCAAATCAACCGAATATCTACCACCTTCCATCTTAAAAATGTAACAAATATTAATTGACAACCAATATAATAATGGATACAAAACTAATGCAACTAATTAAAACTATTTTAATTAATACTTCAAACTAATTTAGTGCAAAGTAGAATTAATGTGTGACTTTAAAATTAAAATTATACCAACTTTTGAAGTACTTTAATTTAGTAAAAACTACTTAAATAAAATGTTAAGTACTTTAATTAAATGATTGAACTACTATTTCTTCCTACAAATATAAATTGAAAATAAGAAAATGTGACTTTAACTATAATGAAATAATGACAATTAACTAGTTTATTGAAGTAGAGTTGTTTTAACAATTAATGAGAATGAGAATACTAATGAAGTAAATAACTAGTATAATGAAAAATGTAACAACAATGCTTATTAACTAATTAACTAGTATAATGACAAATGTAACAAGAATGCTAATAAACTAATTAACTAGTATAATGAAAAATGTAACAATAATGGTAATGAACTAATTAACTATTATAATGATAAATGTAACAAGGATGCTAATTAACTAATTAACTAGTACAATACTAGTTATAGTAATTAACTAATTAACTAGTACAATACTAGTTATAGTAAGCAATATATAATATAATGTTTATAGTATATAATATATAAGTATACTACTATAAGATGAGTAATACACTTATATTTTATACTTTAATATATAAAGTATATATTAAGTAGATGTAGAATGTATGTATTAAGTGGATATAATAATTGTATAAGAATTAAATATTAGAGTATAATGGAGAATTGGAGATTGGAAAATAAGATAATAAGTATATATAAAATAGATATTATAAAGTAGAGCACTCTTCCGGTCAGGAATTCCTGACCGGAACCGCCGTCCGGACGGCGGCGTTTGGCCGCCTTCCGGGTGGAATTTTTCGATGAAATTTTTATGACATGTTCTCCATCAAGTCTAGTTTATCCACAAAAAAATTCAGCCAAAAACTCATTCGGGAAGGTCGTCAAATGATTTTTGCAAGTTAACTGGTCCGGAAAATACATATTCCGGACGAGTTAACTTGCAAAAATCATTTGACGACCTTCCCGATTGAGTTTTTGGCTGAATTTTTGTGTGGATAAACTAGACTTGATGGAGAACATGCCATAAAAATTTCATCAAAAAATGTCACCGGGAAGGCGGCCAAACGCCACCGTCTGGACGGCGGTTCCTGTCCGGAATTCCGGACATGAATAAAATTCTTATAAAGTATATATAAAAGTAGATATTATAAAATAAGTATATATAAAATAGATATTATTAAGTAGAGAAGTAGATATTATTATGTATTAAGTATATAGTACTCCCTCAGTCCCAAATTGTATGATACATTTACTATTCACTTGGTCAACACAAATCACTTTTAATCTTTTATTTTATATATCAAAAGTTTATGAAATTTGAATTATTTTTTGCAGGTTTTGTAGCGGTTTTAATGTAGTTTCTGAATATGTAAATTTTATTTTCTAAAAATAATTTGAGTGTTGACAGGGATCAATTTGCTTTATCGTCAGTCAAACATCGTAAACCGTAATGTATCTTACAAATTGGGACGGAGGGAGTAATAGTTTATAAAGTATATTTAATACTTTATTATATAAAGTATATATTAAGTAGATGTAGTATGTATGTATGTATGTATTAAGAGATATAAGTAGAGATTAAGTAGATAAGAAATATAAGTAATATAGTATATGTATTTATAAGTAGATAATTAATATATAAGTAGATATAATAATTGTATAAGTATTAAATAGTAAAATAAAATATAAAGGAGAATAAGAGAATTTGAGAAGATGAATATGCAGAATTGGAGATGAGTAGAGAGTAGGATTTAGGGAGAGTTAGAGAAGAGGTGTGAAAAAATGTTTAAAATTAGGAGTATTTATAGGTTTTTTTAACCCCCACCCCCCACCCCATCCCCCCCCCAAAGGCCCCGGACCCCCCCTGGTACCCACCCAACGGCTATATAGCCGTTTGGGAAGTGGCTGTTGAGCCAAAATGGGTTTTTTAAAATTAAAAGATTTTTTTTTTAAAAAAAAATGACCGTTAGGCCCGGGCCCGACCCGGCCGGGCTGGGCCACCAAAAACAGAACCCGAGCCCGGACCCGCTTCTCCCACCGGTTCGGTGCCCGAACCGGACCCGGACCCGAGAACCGGGCCGGTTCCGGGCCCGTACAGTGACGGGCCAGGCCGGTCCCGGGCCGGGCGGCCCGAACCGGGTCCACCACTACCCTTGTGTTCCACTCATGTTCCGAAACTCCAATCGCGAAGCTCTCATTCCATGAATGACCAATCATTAGTTGACTCGTGCTTTATAACTTGATAAATGGCATAGATATTACTTCCAGAATTGTTGTTGACAAAATTATGACCATAATTCAATTTGACAAAAAAGTGACTGGAAAGTGACAGGCTAAGTATTCCATCGCATAAACGCTCTTATCCGTCTCCAAGCTTTTATCTTCCGTCCTCGTAGCGCTGAATCAACAAGGCTTCCGCCCAGAGCTCATCCGTCTTCCGTCCCCAAGGCTTCGCCCCGACCTGCAGACATCATCTCCGGCACTTCGTCTACTCTCTTCTCAATCATCTTCTCCGTTCCAGAGCTCCTATGTGAGAACACAGAGCCGCAGCTGCAGACACCTTGAGAGATAGCCACCGATGTCGATTCCGTCGTCGCTGCCGCCGATTCACCTCTCCCTTGGCATCGCTGCCACTCTTCTCTCTTCTTCCGGTCTGCCATCCCATGGCGAGCAGAAAGCGGCCAGATCTGGGGGAGGGCGGCGGCTAGGGTTCATTGGCGGTGGCCGGGGCTTGGTTGGGCTGTCAAAGGTGGGGCTGGTTAGGGTGGTCGGAGATGTGCGGCAAAGATTGAGTGGCTAAACGGCTGGATCTAGGCTGGGGTTGCAGGGGAGGGGGTTAGGGTTGCAGGGGAGGGGGTTGGGGTTGCAGGGGAGGGGGCTAGGGGCAGAAAAGGGACTGGGGTAGCGCAGAATGGGGCTGGGGTAGCGGGGAATGGGGCTGGGGTTGCAGGAGAGGGGGCTGGAGGCAGAAAAGGGGTCTGGGGGAGCAGGGAGGGGGCTGGGGTTACGGCTTAGGCAGTCTCACTCAATGGCGGCGGTGTCAAGGCGGCAGGTTGATGGTTTCCGGTGAAGATTTTGATGCGAAAAAGTCCCTAGTTACCCGTTTCCCGGTGTAGTGACATTTGAAAGTGACATAAAAATCCATATTGACATTTCAAAAGTGACATAAAAATCTGGTAGTGACATATAACAGTGACATAAAATTTCGATAGTGACATAAAAATAGGGTTATAAACGAATCAAATAATTCGTGCTCGATTCGCGATTCGAATTTGTATAAGACAATTCGAATTCGGAAAATTCAAATAAAAATACAAATAAGAATATTAAATTTGATTCAAGTTGCTATCAAATATAAATAAGAATATCAGTGTATTCGATTTGAATATTAATCAAATATATTCGATTAATAATAATGGTAATATTATTAATAATATTAATAATAATAATAATAATAACACTATAATAACTTTTAAAAATAACAATGCCCTCAAGTATAGTCCATATATACATTTCTACATGGAGATTCCACAGAAATTTTAATAGGCCCGTAACGGGCTCGTTAGTGAGCACGTAAGTGGATTCCTTATATCATACGTATCTACTTTATTAATTACGGGTATTATTTTGTTTAAGTTACCTATATATTGCATTACGGATTGTGGTTTTGGGTACTTTTTATTTATTAGACCAACTAAAAAGTAATGATGTTTAGTAGTGGACTTGATTCATCTAATGGATTATTTAAAAATTAAAAAATAAGTTTAAAATATACGGAGTAAGTTTAAACAGATAACTAAAAATAATGGTTATTAAAGTTTGATTTTCATATTAACTACCGATGATTAAATAACTTATATGCATCATAATTACCGATTATGATGGGTTATTTACCGGATTATTTAATTTCAATATTAATTATTCATAGAAAAAGTTTTTAGCTTGATTATTATGAGATTGAATGTGATTGTGTATGCAATTTTTTAAATTGTAGAAGTTGTATTTTTGACGAAGGCTGCGTTTGTATATCAGCGGATCCGCCAAAAATTGGAGGATTTGACCGTGTTGGCGTTTTGGACCGGCAAAACCGCTGGAAATTTGCGTTTGGTAAACAGCAGCTCAGGATAGCGATTCGTATGAATCCGCCGAAAACCAAAACGCTGGGAATTGGAGCGTTTAGGTTTTGGCGGATTGAAATCATTATTGAATTCACCCGATTGCCCTCGATTCATCTTCCTATTTTCCTATCGTTTCAGCCGCTTGAGGTATCGCGTTCAGTGCTTCCTCTCTTCAGCTAGACGGGGTCTGCTTTTTCTCTTCAGCAACAGATTTCCCTCTTCAAGGTATGTGTTAATCCCTCTCCTCTGGAGTAGTCCGTTTAATTTGTATGGAGAAGCCTCTAAATATTACCACTCGATTGATCTTACTGCTACATCTTTTGTGAAGTCTTCTTTTTTTGATTCCTTGTTATCACGTGTGGTGTGTCCAATATATGACCTTTATACTCTGCACTGGATTGTTCGATCTTATTGTTGCCGCATGTTTTTTGGAATTTTTAAAAACATACCAAAAAAATGTCATAACTATGTACTACTCTGCACTTCATATGAAAATACATGCCTTCCATGGCAAATTCAATAAGAAATAACATACGTTCATATGATTTGTATGAATATTTCTATTTGTAATATCATATAGCTTTGTAATACTTTGCACTTCATATAAAAATACATGTGTTCCTTGCCCATACAGGACGGATTTGGACTGATTTGGCATTAATAAGGCAACTGAACTTGATATTACTAGAAGTCATACGACATATCTGCTATGTATGGCTACAGATTATTTATATAGTGCATGGGTTTCACATATGCATGTGTGTGTGGGTCCTATTACAAAATAATGAAAGATATATAAAATGCTGAAAAAAAACAGATGTCTCTTAGAAAGAGCAAAGGTTTTCTATTATTGGTGTATTACTAAAACAAATGGTATATATTATTTGTATAATACATCTCCTTTTTATAGGTTCTACGGACCGATGCCTGCTGCTGAGCTTGAAGAGCTTGTTCTCTCCACTCTTGCTGGAGCAAAGCTCATTTTCCTTTCAGGGTCGCCTATCGATAGATAGCAGGTTGCTTCCAAGCTCAAACCAAATGACGTGAGAGAAAGAACCTCTTGGTGGCAATCGTGAAGCTTTAATATATTCCTTAACTGACCCCCCCCAGTGGGGGACTAGGTAGGCAGAGCGCGAATTACGGTAATAGAATAAAATAGTTCCTTGGGTTCAAAATCTTCCTTGACTCTACTGATGGTCTGACTAAGGAGGCCTGTATTGGGGTAGTATATTACTAAAAGTAAAAGGTCATGTGTTAATGGTATTAGCATTTTTTCATATTCCGCAAGTCATCATCCATTCATCCATTATCACAAGTTCACAACCTTTACTGCATTCCATTGTTTTCTAGATGAGGGCTTATGGAAGTGGTTTCTGATTATTGTTAATTTCACAAAATAAATCTTTAGCAGAGAAATCCTTTTTAGTTAATCACATACTACGTACTAGCTATGTAATCAAACTATTTGAGCAATAATTTGATATGTATGTTTTAGCCTCAGGGGTTCTTTCTTCTTTTGGAGAACTCATTTTGCTCTATGTTATTTGAAAGTGATTATCTATATATGGAGTATATGCTGGTGGTATTGTATATCTGTGTATGAAAAACTACTACTTTTTGTTTGTTATGATGCTATCTATTGTACAGTTTTAAGTGAAGTAAAGAACCCGTGTCAAATGTATCATGTTATGATTTCCTACACCCTATGTGCAAATTGTCTAGTACTATCTATATGCAAATTGTCTAGTATAGCTTTCCCATTTCATAGTAATTATGTAGAAGATTGGGATTAACATAAAACCTTAAGCATACTAAAAATATCTTTACCATTTTTAATTTATAGATGACCCTAACGCAGAAGAAATTTGTAGAAGGAAGTCGAGGAACTCAAAAAGAGAAGGAAGAAAGTCATGGAGGGAGGGTTAATTGGTCTAAAGAATTACTTCACTTGTTTTGTGATCTATGTATTCAATACGTAGACATAAGCAAGGGAAAAAATGGTGGAATTGTTTCACAAAGGTTAGTGTGGAAAAAAATTGAGTCGGAGTTTCAGAGAAAAACTAACCTGCCATGGGATAAAAACAAACTCAAAAATAAGATTGATTGGATGAGAGATGTATGGACTTTATGGAAGCAATTGAAGTCCAAAGCTACCGGATTAGGGTGGGATCATTTAAAAGGGACTATTGGGGCTACTGATGAATGGTGGTCATTAAGAATTGAGGTTAGTGCCATTTTATTTTAATTTATATATTTTTTAATTATTTAGTTCGTAGACTTAAAGCGAGGTAATTTAAAATTTTATGTATTTTTATTTTTATTATAGGAAAATCGACAGTTGGGACAATTTAGAAAAGAAGGAATTGAGCCAGAGCTTGAATGTAAATTTGAACAAATTTTTGGGAGTTATGCGAATGGGAATCTTAAGTATAGTCCAGTATCTAATTTGCCACAACAAACTTTGCAAGATGGAGTTTGTGACAGGGATGTTCCGTCTCCACCTAATACCCATATTCCTCGTGTTTGCGTTGATGAGATACATGAGAACTATTACGAGGACAATAACTCTGTGAGAAATGAGTCTTGGAATGATATGTGGAGAGATCTTAGCCCTAGCCCTACTTCTGCTCATGTAGCTCCCCGTGATGACTTTGTCGGGACATACTCGTCCCAAAAGATCCCAACTTCAAACAAATTCCCTCACAAATTGCCAGTGATGATAGATATATGCCACATTTCAAGGTAAATGCATAAATTGATTAAGCATGATAAATTATTATGAAGTGAGTATATTAATATAATCATGTTTATTGAATTATTATATTAGGATTGTATTGGAGCTATTGATGGTACACACATTGTAATAACCGTACCTGAGGAGGATCAGATGCGCTATCGAGGAAGAAAGGGAATACCAACCACGAATGTTCTAGCAGTTTGTGACTTTGATTTGCTATTCACATATGTTCTAACAGGATGGGAGGGATCAGCACATGATTCACGCATATTCCTAGACACAGTGAACAATCCAAGCCTTAATTTTCCAAAGCCACCGACTGGTAGTTCACTAAAATTTATTTTTTCTTACATACCATATATCATTTAATTTACAATTTTAATTTTAATTATACTTGTTGCTTTTATTTTTTTAGGAAAGTATTACTTGGTTGACAAAGGCTATCCAGAAAGATATGGATACTTGACTCCGTACCCTAAGACACGATACCATCAATCGGAGTTTCGTGGATCAAGACCAAGAGGATCACGAGAAGTATTTAATCGGGCACATTCATCCTTAAGAAGTTGTATTGAGAGAGCGTTTGGTGTTCTTAAGGCTCGCTGGAAGATATTACAAAAGATGCCAAGTTATTCATTGGTGGATCAAAACAAAATTATATGTTCATGTTTTGTATTACACAACTACATTAGAAAAAGCAAACTTGATCCGGCTTTTGATTTCATTGATGAAGATCCTGAATTTATACCCCCTGACGTTATTCCAGATGTTCGAGCTAGTACTACACAAGGTGATGATGGAATGAGAAATCATCAGATGGCGATCATTCGTGATAGCATTGCTTCTAGTTTGATGTCATAGGGATTTTATTCTTAATATTACAAATATTGCAATTCACCGTATTACTTTTTTTAAGAATTGTATTACATCTTAATATTGGTGTACTTAATTGATTCATTTTTATTGTCATACTTTTATCTAGTTAATTTTAAAAAAATTTACTCACATATCTTTTATCATTATTTTTATTGATGTAGTATTATTTACATATAAATTAGTACGTCATAACTTCATATCAAACAAAACAAAAAAAACATGCAAAAATTTTAAAATGTCCTTTTTGTCTTTTTACATATTATCCGCTACAAACAAACCGCTAAGTTACCAAACATCTTTCTGCAACCCGCCAAGCTAATCCGCTGGTCAAACCCGCTGATCCAATCTGCCATTTACTACCCGCTAACTAAATCCGCTAACCGCTAACCGCTAACCGCTGGGTGCCAAACAGGGCCGAAATGCCTCGAAGTAGGGATGGACCCGCTGGAGGTCCAGAAACGGGACTAGCATGTAGGCATAGGATTTGGAACCGTAAAACCGGGAAAACCGGCCCGAACCGAATTATCCGGTTCGGTTCGGTTCCTACAATTTTGGACTTTTGCATTTTTCGGTTCGGGTTCCTACAATTTCCTGTATTGTTTAACCGGTTCGGTTCCAGTTCGGTTCCGGTTCCTGTATAGGAACCGAAGTTCTTATACGTTTTCAAAATTAATTTTCATTTGAGGTGATTTTGAGTGGGATTTTTTAATGAAATTTTGTTAGCTTATTTTTGATGAAGTATATATTATGTCTACCAAATTTTAGCTTAAAATTCAATCGAGAAGTTAAGTAAATAAATTGTTGAAAACTATTATGCCAATATATATACCAACACAATGTTTTCAACAATTTATTTGACCCATTTCCCGAATGAAGTTTAAGCTGAAATTTGGTGGATATAATATAGACTTCATGTAGAACATCCTTATAAAATTTCAATAAAATATTCTACCCGGAAGCACCTCAAATGGAGGTACCAGACGTCGTTCTTGTCAGAAAATTCTTGACATACAGGAATATTTGACTTGCATAATATACCTTATATATTGCGGACCAGGCCTATCGGAGTAGTTATTATTTTATGATTGTAATTTATATTTATTGTATGATTGTAATTATATTTGTTATTTGCGTCCACCTAAAAATGAATAAATGTTGTTGCTGATTACGTTGTTATTTGTTATAGTAAATTGCTAATATTACCGGTCAGTTTATTACTATGTACTTTTTACTTATGGTGCAACATACTAATATAAGAATTTTATTTTGGGGTTCAACTACCTGCTATTGAATGTGTACCTTGGAACTATTAATCCTTTTTACTAAGCAGCTAATGCTTATTTTACATAAAAACTTTTATGTTTTTGTTATTTTACAATTTAAAGTTTGCACTTGGATATTTTTGTGATATTTGAACATTGGGATATCCTATATGCATAATGTAATGGTCATAACATCGGCAATTATTCTAATGATTTGAAATTTGAATATTTTTATGTAACTGAAGACAAACTGTATTCATTTTAGGAGGAAAATAATTTTTGATAAGGAACCAAAAAAATGTAAGAACCGAACCGAATTTAACTAGAACCGAATTTAACAACTACTACCTCCGTCTTGGGTGTTAAAATTGGGGACCGGACCAGGCAGTCCCGATTCCGATCCCAACGGTCACTTTGGTTTATTTTTTAAAATTGATTGCCTTTTGTTTGAAGAGCTCGCTCGGGGAGGGGGGGCACCAACGGATATAGTGCCGTTGGGTAGGTTTTGGGCAGGGATGGATTGGGGGGGGGCAATCGCCCCCCTTGAACTTTCAAAATTTTTGTTATACGGAGTATATGTAATATTTGTTGGAAAATGTGTTAGTAAATTGCATTAAATGGTCATTTTGGGGCAATTTTTTGAGTGGGGTCCACTTCCGATTCGGGTCGGGTCAAAGTGGTTTCGGATTGTCCTTGTTAAGGGCTACAATTCGATACGTGGTACACTCAAAACGGATAACGGGTGAATGAAATGTCGATTTTCGAAGTTTGCCCGTTGAAATGGGGTAGCAGCCGGCTGCTCTTGCAGCCCACTGCCGGCAGGATAGTCGGCAGCAGGCTGCTGCCGGCAGGACAGTTCGCAGCAGCCTGCTGCTGAGACGACTGCCGCAGCCCACTGCTGGGACGTTACAACTCCATAAATGCCCAACGTTCCTTTGCAATAAATGGACGGTTTTTTGGACTAGAATCAATGCCAACGTGCTGGACATTGATTACCAACGTTCATATCCATTAAACCTCCATTAAACACACAACAAATCTTCCCTATAAGTAGCTGGCAGGTGATTTGCAACATGACACCACTCACAAACGTACTCACACAGTTTTTGAGCTCTAGAAAAACACCTCCAGTTTCCGAAATTCCTTCTGTGTTCTAAGCCTTGTTCTCGTTCGTTGGAACTCTAGTTTGAGTGCTAAACTATTGTTCGAAGTCATCGTATCCTGGGAAACGATCGTTGCAACGCTCCTAGCACCCCGGGAGGCAACGAATACGTTTTAAGGAAATCGTGCGTGGCACGAGCTTTGGCTTATTCTGCTTCATCTCATTTCTCGTTTTCCTTTAAGTCATTTTATTTAATTAATTTTATTAATTATTTTCTTAGTTTTTCGAAACACACCCAACAATATTTTCATAAATTTGTTATACTTTAATTGGATATATATGTGTTCGCACCGCTAAACAAGAGGAAAAAGTTCACCGTTACACTAACGGAAGAAAGTTCCCCCCCCCCCCCCCCCCCGACTTAAAATTCTGGATCCGTCCATTGATTTGGGGGGTTGGGCGGTCTGGTTAGGGTTAAAAAAACCTATAAATACCTCCTATTTCTAAAAATTCATATACCTATTCTCTCATATTCCTATTCTCTAATTCTCTTTATTACTCTCTACTCTTATTCTTAAATTCTCTCTACATCCTGATTATATGTATTTATATCTACTTATTTATAAATAATATTATACCGACTTATATTTAAATATATAATATAAAGTATATACATTAGAGTATAAGAATATTAAATATATTTATGCTCAATATAATTAGCGCCGGACCGCTACTTCATGGAGGAAACGACAATCAACCTCGGAAGCGGTTCCAACGATTAGTTCATGTATTTAAAGTCTCGATTGTAATTTATAAATGTGCAATATTCAAAATCAATGTAGTGTTCGAAATAAATATACATTTCATTTTTTAATGTATAGCATTTCTTATTTATTAAAAGAAATCAAATAAGGCCTGAACCGGCACGGGACCGTGACCTGTATGTATAGTTCTGGGTCGATTGGGGACTTAACTATGGGAGACCGGGACCAACCGGTCTGGGAGCAAAACCGGAATCGGGACCGGCCGATCCGGGACCGAAACCGTAACTGGGACCGGGTCCATCCCTACCTCAAAGTAATGAAAATAGAATCTTAATAACCAGGGACGGATCCAAGGGGGGGCGCGGGGGGGGGGGGGGGGGCGACCGCCCCCCTTGGACTTCCAAATTTTTCTACTGTATATATAATATTTTCATAAAATTTTCATACTTTAATTAGGTATATATGTTTTCGCCCCCCTTAACTTTTAGTTTTCAAAATTAGTATATAGGCTCACATAATGCAATGCTTAATTGGAGATTTAAAAGAAGTAGAATCTAAAATAATTTACATAACTTAAACAAATAAACAATAGAACTCGTTGTTTAAGACTCAGGGTACCAAAAAGTTCTTAGTGTTGTAATGTTTAATTATCTTTATTAGATAATTAGTACTCGATTTCGTAAGATATCAAAAGATATTGAATATCAGATACAATAGTTAAATAGTATAAATGTTTGTTGACATTAAATTTCACATTTCATTTACCTCTTACTTTCTAAAAACAATTTCTTGAATAGATAATACTTTAACTTCTTTTAGAATTAATGCAAATATAATATGTACCAGATATATATGAATTAACATTACTACGTATCATATTATTCTAAGTATAATAATCTCATACATACTATTGTAACATTAAGAAAATTCATCATGACCCACAAATACCCTTCTTGATAGACAAAAATCTCAATTCAAAAATCAATTCTTTATCCTGTTAAGATTTATGTGGTTAAACAAAACATAAGTTACTTAAGAAGCATTGGTTGATGTGTACCTTTAACTTTAAGCACTTTACCTTCAAATAATATAAAAAAATGTTATACTGCGTATATCGTATCCTTTCTTATTTTCAAATAATTTTCCTTTAATTTGTCATTTCTTAAGCTTTAATGTATCAATATTTTTTTCTGGAGCACTTATAGTTATTAAATCAAAGATATCTTTTCATTGTCTACAATTAGAATTAGAATATAATAGATTTAATTGTCATCGTGTATGTAGTATGTACTAATGGAACTTTTTAAAAAAAAATAGCCACAGAGCCCTACACTAGCGAAAAAATTCGCCCCGCTACCCTAGCAATTTTTTTTCCCGTTCCGCTTACTAGCGAAAATTTTTCACTCCCTACACTAATAAAAAAATTTCGCCCCCCTTGACTCGAAATCCTGGATCCGTCCCTGTGAATAATAACCATTGTTTTTAGATATTAATTAGTTTCTTTAATATATTTTAAACTTATATTTTAAATAATTCATAAGATAAATCAAGTCCACTACTACTAACATCATTACTTTTTACTTGGTCTAATAAAAATTATACCCAAGAACACAGACGGTAAATCGTAATGTAACATGGGTAACTTAAACAAAATAATACTCCGTAATTTTTTTTGGCGGAATAATACTCCGTAATTAATAAAACAGATACGACGTGAGGAATCTACTACGTGCTCACTAAGGAGCCCGTGACGGGCCTAATAAAATTTTCGGCAGATTCCAAGCCCATTTGTAATAAATAAGAATATAAATACGAATACTACAAATCAAATTTTTGGTTCAAATAATTATGTATTCGATTTGAAGAATAAAATCAGAGTCATTTGGCTTTGATATATACAATTATCAACTTATTTCACACATCATAAGTATAATTTATAATATGAGTGTGTTAGTGTTTATTTCAAAAGGTTTGAAATTGATTTATATTTGTTAATCA